AAGGCAATGTTTATAAACGGACGGAGATCGAGGGCTTCTAGAGATGAGGGCTGTTTTGCATGGAATGGATTGGAGGGGGAAGGGGGTAGAGGGTTTTGGAGGATGCAGCCAGAGAGTCAGTCAATTATGGCAAGCGCAATTAGAGGTAGACTTTAGTCGCCATGGTGTTGGTACGGCTGTTTAGAAGGGGACGACTTACAAAAAATTCTGCGTTTCGTTTTAAGTGCTTTAGTTTTGCATAAAATATAAAATGAAGAATTTAGATTAAGATTAAAATTTGGATTTAAAAGTTTTAACGGGGAGTATAGGTTTAATTCGGTGTCGGATCCAAAAAAACCAAGAAGTTTCAGGTTTTCAAATTTTTGTAATTCGAAAAATTTTCGTGAAATCAATTTTAAGAGAAAAATTGTACAAACGAAACCACAAATGCGATGGAAATTTTAACCTTCTAAAAATTTTAGAGATCTTTTAGCAGCTCTCGCCTAATGGTACATCATTTTCTGTAACAGTACCTTAACCTATTTCGAGGCAAAGCGACACAGCTTTTCCAAGAAGTACACCTTTAACCACCCCCCAAAAACCATCACACCCCACCCATCCATCCCCAAAAAAACCCAGATTGGGCTTCCTTGCCCAGGAGAGGAAAAGCGGTTAGTGAGGGGTGGTGGTGGCCACTAGAATCGGGGCCAAGTGGATGAAGTGAAGCAGGGAGGGGGGAGCGAGACCGGAGGAGGATGAGGAGAAGGAGACGGAGCTCGGTGTCCCAGAGTGGGAGAGACACGCGATGTGCTTCCAATTTCGCCGCACAATTAGCTGGAAGGGGAACCGGGGGGGCCAGGGGATGGGCTGGAGGCCGTGGCCCAGGCTGGGCCACACACCGGGGGTGGACCAGGGCCCCTGGTGCGCCCTTAATTCGGTGGCCTGTGTCTGTGTGTGGGTATGTCTGTCTGTGTGTCTGTGTGTCTGTCAGTCTGTGTATGTGGGGCGCAATTGGCCGAAGATGGATCGGCTGCCCGATGCGGACCGATGCCATCGAGAAGCCCTCAGCCCACCAAATCCGATGGCCTGTCGCCCGGGACCACGTCATCCCCAGGGCGAGGGGTGCAAAGTAATTTTTTGGAAGTTAGTATATTCGGTTTATTTTTATTCTGTGGAAAATCATTTTTTCGAGGTCACTTTGTCGAAAGTCGGGGAAACACCAAAATCCCGACAGCCCAAATCCCGACGGCCATAGTTCCGACAGCCATAATTCCGAGAGGCCAAGATACCGATAGGCCAAAATGCCGACAGCCAAAATGACGGCAGCCATAATACCGACAGCCATTTTGTCGAGATTTCACTTTGTCGAAATTTCAGGGCCTATTTCGCCTCGATTATTCATTTCAAACGCTTCGCCAATTTAAATTTCAGCGCATTGATATTTCGGTAAAATGGATTACGAAAAAGTGAAAATAAGCCATAGGATCCGTATGATTAACTTGCATTGGTGGACTTTAAATTTGCCTTTTTCAGCTCAATAGTTATTTCCGGGGAGTGAAAGAATCACGGCATACTGTAGCATTCAAAAAAAAATAAATTACGGTGGAAAATGGGTGATTTTACAAAATAAGCTATGACCTCCGTCAACTCAAGGCCATTTCACAAATGATGACGTCTCGTTCGCAACTTAAAATCTGCCACTACCCCTGTAGCTTTGTAATACGAGATAGAAGTTATATGCAAAGTACGAAAATACATCCTAGAATATGCTTGGAGGAAGTGGAAAAAATTGATCATTTAAAGGGAATTCGATATACCAGGTATACACCAAACAATTCGATATACCACATAAAACAACAAAAGATACACAGCTCTTTTCGTACGCTTGAGCAAAATCCAAATAGTAGTCCTAGTAAAATTACGGTAGCGGATAACCTCAAAAGCAGCCCAGAAAATCGTATCCCGTCAAAATGAAATTGGAAAGCGGACCGCCATCCCCCTTACCGTACTCCTCCCCGGTGTCAGCCCCTCCCCTCCCTAATTTCCTGCATAATCCCAACAGCGCACGGGAAATTGAATTCAAATTGAGGCCCCTATCTGTGTGTCGGCGGCAAATGCCTTGTGAGTTGTGTGTGTGTATCACGACGTATTTCATGCCGTCAACCAACCCGTGTCCTCTCAAATTCATTCATAGAGAAACGCCGGAATACGGGGAGGGGGGAGCTGTCGGCATTGCCCTCTATAGTGCCCTTGAAATGGGTGTGCGTTATAGGAAGGGAAAGCATGGCAGAAGGGACGGGGGGACAGCAAAGGAATGGTGATGGGCTTGAGGGCCAAAAGAAGGGCCCAGGGACCCATCATCTGCCGTTCCCTTCGAGCTTCGGAAATCCGTTGATGCATTCTTGATGCCGAACACCACTCCCTTTCTCAAATCAGCGAATTTTTTGGAGGGTAGTAGGGAGGGAAAACATGGCGTATCAGCTGGTGGTTGCGTTAAAGGGTATTAAAGGGACGGGTAAGTCGTGAATGAGTCTTTGGTAAAAGTTGCTTAACGGGGGAGGGAAGATCAGCAACGGTACGCTTTTGAAAAATTACATTTACAAGAGTTTTAATTAATTAGAGTCTTCGCTATTGTAATGGATTCTATTACCTATACCTTTTCGGTAAAAGTTGCTTAACGGGGGGGGGGAGGACAAGGAACGAGGGTAAAAAAATTTTCTACTTTTAGACAGCATCCTGTTTTTTTTTCTCAAAATTCGTGATTCCAAAAGGTTTTTCAGTATAAAAATTAAATTTACAACGATTTTAAATGTAAGAGCAATAATCGTGCTAATCGTTAGCATAGTAATATTTTGTAATTAAGTTATTTCCGGCTGAAATTAAAAGACTTATTGTAATTTCCTCTGCTCTCAGGGCTTTGCTGAATAAGAATGACGAGAGCACGAGCACGAGCACGAGAGGTTTTTGCCCCTCCCCCGTTAAGCAACCATTATCGTAGTTTATGGCTATATTTTCAAAGCCACCAACCAATTACTTCCCCTTTATACGATAGCCAAAATGCCCCCAACATCAGCCCCTCTCAACCCTAATTAATCGAACCGCTTCATCCCGAATTCCTCGAAATAAAATGGTGCTCAATAAGGGAAAAACTTGGAGTAACAATGCCCCCTCCTCGCCAATGCCCATCCGGTATGCGTGCGCACAGCGGTTATTGAATTACAAATTCGAAAAATTGGACCCTGAGAAAGGAACGACCTCTTTCTGCTCCCAATTTCACCTCTAGGGGGACGCCCACATGGTTTCGATGGCCGGGGGACATTAAAGGAAATGGGAATTATTTCCTGGGGGGTAAGGATCGGCGAAAATTGGTATCATGGGGACCGGATATTTTTCATTAATTTACCTTGGGATGTTGTGATGTGGTTTGTGACTTCCGGTGCATACAAGGAGACTTTTTGAGTGACATCCCAGTTTTGAGCGGGACAGCGTATCTTGTGCATAATTTTAGGTTGACTTCTAATCTATTCTTCAAATTTGTTGAATCGGCATTTTATGGAAGTTACAGCGCTGACCCCCCGCTACGCGGGGGTTCAGCGCTGGCCCTCCTCCCCCCCAGAAATTTGAATTTTGAATTTGAATGCAAAATTTGGCTGAATTCGTGTACGGACGGGCGGACGGACATTAGAAATTTATATATAGTAGATTGTACATTTTAGGGGGTAGATCATGAAAATTGCATTGGTTAGACTCTTATGCGAATTACGTTCGACGTAAAATTTCCTCTAGACTCTTTGTAGGCGTCTAAACAATGCAATTTTGAGGATACAAAAATTCAAACTGCGAAAATTCGAGAGAGAATATCTGGTAGAAAATAACCCGTATAGTAGTCTGGAAAATCCGATGTTGAGGATTTTCACCTTAAAATCCCCCGGTAACTTCTTGAAAATGCCGTTTAAGCAGATTTGGAGAGCTGGTTCGGGATCAGCGCAAAATTCAGCACAAAATACGGTAGGCTTGGTCCCACCCAATACTTGGATCCCACCCAAAAAGTCGCCGTGGTAGAAACTCACCCGTATCTTCATCCGCTGCATAAAATCGTGAAATTCGTGCATTATCGATTGCCGATTGTCGAGAATAATGCCGATTCCAGAATTAGAAAATCCGGAATTGTAATAGCGTGCCGCCTCAATTGTCCAAAGCAGCTATGCAAATAAATCCGCCGGGCCGTTTTTGTCCGCGTCGAATTATTCTGAATTTCCAGCACCCAAAGAATCGACTGGGATTGGATAGATAGATGGGATGAGCAAGGTGTGGAGCGTTGTGATGCCCCCCTCCCCCCTATCATCATCAACGGATACTTCCCCCCACCCCGGGCTGCCTCCAAAAAGTTGGGCAAACAGAACGGCTCAACCGATTGTGACCGACGGGGGGGGGGGGGCTGGTGGATCTCGGCCAAACGGTTTGCAGAATAACTCAGGCCTTTGGTCCTTTACGTGTCTGTCGATGACCGCCACCCACCATCTTCAACCAAAACATCGAGCGCGAACAGCGATCTCCGAGATGTTTTCCGGTACACACCACAATATTTGTAAAAATTATCTCAAAAATTGGGTTCAAAACGCGTGGATGCGGTACCGGGGAAAATGGTACTGGTCTGTTACCGGGGGGGGGGGATTAGAAGGTCGGAAACTAATGTTTGCCAATAATCCCACCCAATAACAAAACATAAGCCATTTTTTACATTTTACAGAGTTTTTTATATAAAAAGCGCATTAACAAATTATAAACTTTTTTGAAAATTTTTGAATTTTGTATAAAAATGGTCAAAATTTCAAAATCTTCGAAGTTTCATAAATGTTTAAAATATTTTTGTAATTTCTTCGCAAACAAAAACTACTAAAAATATTATATTGCGCCCTGATAGATTTTGGTATGTTCCGACAGCAATCTCCGAAATTTAGTCCTGTGCACATAAATCAACACATCATAAATTTTATTTTTAAACGCGTCAACAATATTCATACTTGACTCCGATACTCGACAATATCCCCTTGAAATGAGTGACGTTTTGGGGGTGGGGGTACCTCCATTTCTGGTGCCAATTTATAGAGTTGCAGGAGTCGGGGGGCACTGTCTGCTGAGGCCGAGCGCTCTGGGTTCTAAAAAAAGTAAAACAGTAAAGACAAGCTATTAGGACCCACCAATCCATGTTGATCATGCGAAGCTACCGTAAGTAAATCGCGGGAGCCACGTGCGGTATTGTCAAATCCCAATTTTCGATGGTTAAGCTAAAAATGGAAATATATGAATTTGGTAATTGTGAATATAATGAAAATTGGTGCCTGTGAGATTGTAAAAAAAAAACTCACCCCATCAAAATGCAAAATATGCGAGCTAGCCGATGAAGCGTCCATCGACTTCATATTCTGATCATCCTCCTCGCTAATGACAGTCAACGTTCTCCCCGTCTCATCCTCAATCCCTTGTCCATCTACAGTAGGCATGGCCGGGCTCTCATTATCTGTGTCCCAGCTTGCATATGTCGTCCCAGATGAGGTCATGGTGCCTAGAATACGATATTTAAAAGGCCGTTTGCGAGAGACCCGGACAAGGCTTGGCACAGTTTTTTTCGACCCCCCATTTTTTGATGCCATCTGATAGAGCGTGGTCGAATTAGAGGCATCGCACTAATTTTGGATTTTTAAATTAGCATTTTCCTGGTTAAACAAGGCGTTAAAGTTGCCAACGTCCAAAATTTATCTCGACGACTCCTTGATAGAATTGGCTGAAACTTTGTGACTAGGCCTAATTTGGGATGGTGATCATTTTTCTAATAGATCGCGAAGCACGAAAATTAGCAGAACCTAGTTAAATTGCATACCCAAAACAGTTTTTGCCAAATTTCAAATTAACGGCGAGTCGGCCGCAAGCTGGAATTAGGCTAGAAAGATGCGCAAAATTTTTTCTGCATCGATTGATGTATTATTTAGGTGGCGGCCAGGTCGCCGTTTTCTTACAGCGAGCTTTTTATAACTGAAAAATGGTCTGAAAATCTGACTAAAATCAAAAATTTTGCGATTTTCTATGTTTTGACACACGGGATCACATTTAACGATCACGCCAAGCTAAACGCAAAAATTAGCAAAAAGAAATTCGACATTTGAAGGGGTGCTTGTTTTGGGCCGGAATCGAACCCGGACCCTCCGCCTGGGAGCCCTGTGGCGCAGTGAGTAGAGCGTCGGCGTGCCAATCCAGAGCCGCCGCCAGTTCAATCCCAGCTCACTCTCAGAAGCCGAATTTCTTTTTGCTCTTTTTTGCAATCGACTTGGCATGATTTCTTGATGCGTTTTGACTACTCCGATATGTAAATACCACAATATTTTCCATTTTAGTCAGATTTTCAGACCATTTTTCAGTTATAAAAAGCTCGCTGTAAGAAAACGGCGACCTGGCCGCCACCTAAATAATACATCAATCGATGCAGAAAAATTTTGCGCATCTTTCTAGCCTAATTCCAGCTTGCGGCCGACTCGCCGTTAATTTGAAATTTGGCAAAAACTGTTTTGGGTATGCAATTTAACTAGGTTCTGCTAATTTTCGTGCTTCGCGATCTATTAGAAAAATGATCACCATCCCAAATTAGGCCTAGTCACAAAGTTTCAGCCAATTCTATCAAGGAGTCGTCGAGATAAATTTTGGACGTTGGCAACTTTAACGCCTTGTTTAACCAGGAAAATGCTAATTTAAAAATCCCAAATTAGTGCGATTCCTCTAATTCGACCACGCTCTATCAGATGGCATCAAAAAATGGGGGTCGAAAAAAACTGTGCCAAGCTATAATGGGGACTGTTCGAGTGACTCGCGGACGGCCTTTTAAGGGCTTAAGATATTACTTACTTGTTGTACTAACAGCCATCAAAAGATTCTCATTTTGAAGCTGTTTTTGATAAGCCATCCCCTTCCGGTCCTGCTTTTCGATGATGGTTTTTTCAGTATCCTCCGAATTAACGTCGGATCCAGAGGGCCAAGGCAACTCCTAAATTTCGCGTCAATATATCTCTCATTTTTTACTTACCTGCACCCGCCGCCTCTCCAATAGTTTAATCCTACTCTCTAAGGATTGGATATATTGAAGGACATCGGTTTCCGCTTCCTTTCGCCCCATCTCAAATCTACTTCGAGGGGAGGGGAGCTTGGTAAGCTTTTCTAGAGCTTCCTCCTGAGAAGTGCTTAAATTTACGTCAAAAGCCAAGCATTACCTTTGTCGAATCAATGGATACGGTAAGGTTATTTTGCTTCAACATTTCAATCGGAGAGCTGTCAGAACTTTTCTCGCTGCCACCGCACCCTGGATAAGCCATGGAATGCTGAAAAACCGCTTCTGCCTACCAGATTCCGCAAATTCCTCATCACGCAAGCTTGCTCGTTCACAATGTTCATGCCAATTGCTCATCCACATATGTCTTTGTTCATCAAGATATAGGCACAGCTGGCGTAACTCTTCATTTTCGCGGACCAGCTGATTTTCACGTTGTTCTAGGCCCTCGACTCGACGTTGGTAAGTTCCAACCTCCTTAAAAATCGATTTTTACATTTTTTTTTATAAAAAACGATTTACCTGTCGCATAAGTTGACTGGTATACTTTCCTAGCTTGTGCCATTCCTAAAAATATAAATTAGATTTTAGCGATTCTTTTATATTTTTGAACAGAGTTAATGCTCAATTAACATACCTTCCCAAGCTGCTTCGATTTTTTGCGATCATCATCAAGAAAACAGCAGACCTCCTTCAACTCTTTGTTCTGCGCCGCCAGCATCCCGATTTCATTCTTCAGCAATTTGATCTCATTTACATGCATCTAGGATAGGTTTTGATAGTTTTATAGGGCTTTCTAGCTTCGGATTAGTTTTTATATATTTATAGTTTGAAAATAGCTCTGAAGAAAATTGTTGCCTACTTGACAAATCAGCCATTTAGCCGGAGCACACATTACAGGAATCTACGAACGAGGCTGAATGCAAGACTGACCTGTACTCGTCGATTTGAATCTCGGACAATCTCGTCTTGTGTCAACAACAGTCGATTATTCGTCTCTTCCAGGATTTTCACCCGAAATAGCAGGTTGTCTGTCTAAAAGACGAGTGAAAGATGTTTATGTTGAGGGCTGGTGGGGCGACCCGATAATCCGCCTACCTTCGGATCGTCGATGGCGCTCCGGGATTTTCTTTCGAGTGTAGGCACACGGGGTGCAGATGTTATTCTGTAATGTATTTTTTTTTCGAAAAATCGGCATTAAATCCAAATATAATTTTTGTAAATTACTGACTTTGTTGGAACTGCATATCGGATGGTATAGACGGAGGACCGGGAGCCACTTGTTGTTGAAACAGCAAAATTTCGAGAACAACTGGCTAAAACCGTGATGATAAAACGTATTAAATCCCTTTATATAGCGCTTCCTAATACTTTCCGTATACTTTTTTATAACTATACATTTCCGGTTTTCGACCTTACCTAAATAACGGAACCAAGCCTTTAGAGGTCCTTTAAATGACAAAATCACAATTTTCTTACCTCGATCCAAACTATGGCTGCTGCCAGGAATCATGTAGTATCCTGAAATAATAAGGGTAAAATAATTTGCATACCACACCAAGGGTAAAGCGAAAATATGATCTTAGCGGCGGCTCTTTAAAGCATAATTAACATGTTTTAAAATATTTTTGAGGGTGAAACATCAAAATCATCGCAAAAAGGAGCATTTGAAAGGGCTGATGCGTGAAAAGCTTGGCCCGTGAGCAACAGCCAGCTAATCAGTGTGGACTTGGTGGGCCCCGGCCGGAAAAGGGACAAGGAAATCGGGTTGTGCTGGGGTAGATGGGGGGGGGGGACGCGCAAAGGGTAGCCTACACCCCCTCCGGTCAGTATGTAACAGCTGCTCTTCGATGGGCAAATTATTTGGATACAAGCCAACTTCAAACAGGGGGTCAAAAAAAGTTGGGAATCTCTCTCTCTCTCTCGCTCTCTCACTATCTCGCTCTAACACACTATCGCTCTCTCTCACTCTCTCTCTCTTTCTCTCTCCCTCTCTCTCGCTCTCTCGCTCTCTCGCTCTCTCTTTCTCTCTCCCTCTCTCTCACTCCCACTCTCCCTCTCTCCCTCTCTCTGAAATATAACTTTTAAATATAGCGTAATATCCCAACAGCATCGAAGAAAAATTGAAACTTCATCCCCAGCGTGGTTGCTGAACCGCTTGTTTTGATGAGGAATCGTCGTCACCTTTGGCTTCACGCCTTTTCTTGCTTTATTCGGCGTACAGGAAGCAGTCCGGATAGCCGAGAGGTTTTAGAATAATGAAAAAGCTAGTATCGCTAACTACGAACTACTTAATAAGTAAAACAACTATAAGAAACCACGTCTGGTTAGAAAAGAAACTCAGAGGTAATAAACGCGTGGCTGGAGTCGTAAAATTGGTAATCGGTCGGAAATGCTGAAAACAAATATTTCGCTGCCAGCTTCAGAATTATGACTTTAATCTTTCTTATAATATACTGGGACTTTTATTTTTTTTTAGAATCACGCCGATATGGGCATTGGAGAAGCAACCGAAAATGGTATGCAAAGTTATTCGATTTTGATTAATTTCAACGATTTTTAGCATTTTGAACTTCTTAAAACTTTGGAAAATCCTAGTAAATGGATAAATAAATAGAAACGAATTACCTTAATTATGATTTACAAACAAAAAATTTTCGGATTTTCCAGGCGAGATAAATATCAAAAGATATCTACGATTTTCGAAGGCTTTCGAAGGGCGAAAACTCCATTTTATTAGAGGCACGGCGGTAAAATCCAAAAAACTAGCCTAAAATTTCAAAAAAAAATTAAAATAAAGCAACTCCCAAAAAATCCATCGCAAGGACACAAAGTGGAGAGCGCTAAAGCACGGCATCCTACTGTGAGTCCATCCCCAAGGCCCTTCCTCACTTTCACTAGCCATCACCCATCCACACGAACGGAACGGAAATTTAGCTCAGAAAGGAGAAAGGCAAGGCCGAAACAACGGACACATCCAGCCTAACAGCAGCACCAGACCCGAACCCTGGTAAATGAGGGCAGTTGGTGCGCAACCCAGCCAGAGGGGGGCATTTGATGACCATCAATCACGCCTCTTTACAACTTACCGGATGCTCACTCTGGACCTTTGGGCAAATCTACCTGGAAAGATTTGGCGATCAGCCAAGAATGCTGAAAATAAGCGGAAAAACCAGGGCTGAAAAGCCGCGAAGCTGTTGTTTCCTAGACTTGGCTTTGATAATTTTGATGCTGTTTTTCAGCCGGAAGGTCCCAAAAAATTTTCAGTCCAAAGATAGATAGCCCGAGGTCTCAGCCATCACCCCCGGAACGGAAATTGCGAAAAATAAGTACTAAAATTTATAATATTAGATTAGCTTTTCCCATGTGGTCTGAAATTTCCTTCTTTTTGCTGTAACTAGGGTTGGGTTTTGGCGCAACCGGTTTCCGATCGATCGCTTTGCATATCCTAAACGATTAAATCGTTGGACGAAAACCGGTTTCCTGCTTCAAACCGATTTAAATCGGTTCACGAGGCAAAACCGGTTTTTGTCAGGCTCGGAAATCGGTTCGGGGTAAAAAAACCGGTTTTTCACGATTCGGTCCCGGAAGTGAAACCGGTCTTTATGCAAATAATATTAATTCTAATCAACTCACACATCGTGATTGCTACTTCATTGTTCGGGCTTTACCAGTCGTTTACGATTGTCTTTTCGGTCACAGTTCTAGATAGGCAAGGTATTTTCCCGCTTTCACGCGCGGACCCGACTGTTACTGATAGCCATAGATTGTACTCGATCATTTTGAAGCGCTCCAGGCACGCATCAGCGTTTAATATGACGTTCTAATCGTTTGTCTCTGAGACCATACATTGCTAACAAGCTAAGACAGAACCCGATTCCCAAAAATTTATGAAATTTGAGGCTTTACATTACCGCAATTTGAATAATAAGTGTGCTGGGGATTTGCATAAAGACCGGTTTCACTTCCGGGACCGAATCGTGAAAAACCGGTTTTTTTACCCCGAACCGATTTCCGAGCCTGACAAAAACCGGTTTTGCCTCGTGAACCGATTTAAATCGGTTCGATGCCGGAAACCGGTTTTCGTCCAACGATTTAATCGTTTAAGATATGCAAAGCGATCGATCGGAAACCGGTTGCGCCAAAACCCAACCCTAGCTGTAACTATTTTATCTTAAAGTATCTTGGGCTTAATCTAACAATATTAGGAGGATGAGGATTCGACAAGTGAAAATATCGAAAAATAGCCTGTTGACCTTATTTGCAAACGCTGTTTATTTTTGTATATTCAATATTTTCATCTGTAAATAAAACTCATAGCATATTGCTCGAAGTTCTTTCGAATGGAGTCGAGTAAATCCCGAGAAAATACCGAAAATGTCGAAAATTTTGAGACCCTTGGGCTGTGGGGTAAAGTAAATCGTAGCGGCCTTGCTCGTCCCTTTAAGCCTCGATGATTTTTTCGTAAGCTTCATTTGACCCTCATTTGCACCTACAGCGATGCCCCAATCTGGCTTTCCCTGCCAAAACTACAACCGCCCGAAAGCCCTTCCAGAGCCATTATCACGAAATAAACATATTGTTGCTAGCCAAGCTAACTGTCCCCGTTTTTTATCTCCGACCGTCTGGCAGCAATCAACCAGTGTCGCTCTCTCTCTCTCTTTCCCTGTCTCTCTCTTTCTCTCGCTCTCCCCCTCGGGTGCACAACCCCGGGGTAAATAGAGCGATAGGCGTGTTTTCTCTAGGATCACCCGATAAGTCCGGTTACCCGTCTTTGGGAATTGCTCCCTGCAAAAACATTTTCCTCGATCAGACAAACAAGCCGATATTCATCCGATACTAGAACGCACAGTTTACCACCTCATCCCCCTTTTACCAAAGTACACTTCCCGGAAAAACAGCCGCTTTTTTTTCGACTGGGCGGGCCGTGTCCGGGGGCACGTAGTGGCTCTCGGCCCGCCGCCCTTCCTCAACCGCCAAATTTAATAGCCGAGCTAGAGCCCGGCGCTCCGTCTATCGGACTCAACCTTATCATCTCGCACTTCGTTCAACTATCTGTTCAAGTTTTTGCAAGGTTTTCGGTGTTAAAAGTTAACCTGTAGATCCTAAGCTGAAACCATTGTAGAAGCTCCTAAGATTCTTGATCCAGGCCGGTGGTTAAAAAAAACTTTAAAAAAATATTCAAAAGTTACCTTCAATAATATGCAATACCCTTCCGAAAGCGGCTTTTTTGCGAGTCATCCCGAAAACCGCTTGGTAGAGAACTAAATTCTGAATAAAGTTCCGGATTTTGATCACAAGACGCTCCAAACAACGTTTTTTTTAAAAATCCTAAACCTCTGGAAACGCTAAGCTGTGGCCTAGGCTTAGCTTCATGCAAACTCTTAGCTTAGCTCAAAGCTAAGCGCTAAATCGCCCAATTTTGAGCTCCTGAGGCACTTTAAAGCCTAAGATGAACTAAGCTTGGACCTAAGCTTAAGCCCAAACCGAAACTAAGCCTATTTAAAGCTCAGCTAAGCCCAAGCTTAAGCCAAAAACCAATTAGCTTAAGCGGCGTGCATCGTAACCTCTATCCGCCAGCTCCGGACCCCCCTACCCAAGTGCATTAGAACCAGTCGGCATAGCTATTTTGCAAGCAACCATCGAAGAGTGTGCAAAATCCAATTTTAGACCGACCTAGTAAGTAGTTTAGACCTGACCCTCTTCCCGATGACTAGGAAAAAGCACCGCCTATAAGGGTGAAAAATCGCCATGATTTTTTTTGCAGAACTAATCATATCATTTCCTTTCCCATTCGGCCCTTTTCAGGCTTACCAGATCTAAAAAAACCCGCCCCAATGATATTTCCTTGAAATGGGCATCTTTGGGGGGCAATTGTTGACGTTAATCCCTGGGGGTGATTTTTCGGCAACAGCCACCGGGAGGAGGAGTCTGTCGGTATCGAGACATGGTTGGAGGGCGGAGAAAGAAGAAGAAGGAGCGAGCTGTTTGTGCCGTTCGGGTTCGGCCCGGGGTAGAGGAGCTGTTTTCTTCGTGGGCTCTTTTTTGCCGGAGCGAGCCTCTGTCCACGCCCGGGCAAATGTGTGCCCCACATTGATTCCAGCCCATACCCGCCTCGGGGGCCCTGGACGAGGATGCTCCTTCACTCGCCCTTCGCTTCCTCCTCAACTTCGAATAGAGCACTTGAGACGTTCGGGCGAGGTTTAGTTCCCCAAAAATGTAAAAGTCCGTGCTTATTTTCGAAAAAACTTTTTAAACCTATTAGAAAGTGTTTGAAAAAAGTAACCCCTCTAGCTGCGGGAAGCTCGGATCGCGAGGATTTCTATAGAATTCGAGAAATGCTCGAAAACAAGCGGCTTTAGTTTGTTGAAATTATTTGGGATTTTCTTCCTTCCTAAAAGCCCGTGTTTTTCAGCGCGAAAACGGCCATGAAAATTCGAACCGCGCATCAATCAGCCAGTTTTCGGTAACAATAAAATCCTGAAATAAATCCTAAATTTAGAAAACCAAAAACCCTGTTTTCTAGCGTTTGTGAGAACTTTCGATGCATACCTAAATCCTAAAAATACGACCTTTTCTGGGGACACCTCGCAAAAACTGCAAATTTTTTGTTGATAATGCGCGCATTCTGACGTCCTAAAAGCGCAACAGGCTCTTCTATAAGGTCATTAGGACATACTCTTGATATTTTTGTTATCTGACAACTAGAAACCCAAAATAAAGCGAAGCAACCTTGCCCATTGTTTCCTTCTACCTAAAACCCTGGCCCCAATTTACCAACGCTTGGTTTGAGCCCAAAAACTTCCTTCTATCTAACTGCCGTCCCAAATGGTCTCCCTGCAATTCCTTTCGCCCCGGAATTCGCTCGCTCGTCTGTGCATCCCCATGGTCAGCACGTGAAGCCGTTGTTTATCTAGAAAACACCCCCAAACGACCCCCATGTTTTTCTCCCAGAGCCCCCCCCCCCCCGCTCCTTTCTCGGATATAACCGATACCCCTGTGGCTTTCACAAAAAATATCCCACTTCCGTTCCAATTTTGATAGGCCTGATAAAAGTAAATATCGAAATAGGAACTATCTTATTGAATTGAAAGCCCTTTCGCGCCAAAAAAGCTGAATAAACTTCTATGAACCCAATTTTCTTTTGGGTCCACTTCCCCCGAGTCCTTGGTCAACAATTTTGCAAAAATTTAAACATTTATTGCGCCTTTTTATATAAAAAAAACATTACAAAAACGTTCAGGTTGCAAGTTCGGTTCAGAGCCGCCCGACCAGCGGGCTGTTTTTTATCTGCTGCCCCATTGATCGTATCCTGACAGACCGCAATTAGGTGCAAACGGAATCCTGTCGACCTTCCCGATTTTCTCCTTTTTTCTGTTTCTATGGGAATACGCAACACCAAGGTGGAACCAACGATGCTGACCGATCACGAAAAGCGGAAGCAGATCTCTGTGCGCGGCATCGCTCAGGTCGAGAATGTGAGCAACATCAAGAAGGCCTTCAACCGGCACCTTCATTTCTCCATTATAAAGGTATGAGCTTTATTTCCTTTCAAAAATACATTTTTTAGGACCGAAATGTTTCGACGCCCCGCGACTACTACTTTGCCTTGGCCAACACCGTCCGCGATCATCTCGTCAGCCGTTGGATCCGCACGCAGCAGCACTACTACGAGAAAGACCCGAAGCGCGTCTACTATCTGTCTCTGGAATTCTACATGGGCCGCACGTTGTCGAATACGATGATGAACCTGGGGATCCAGGCCACCGTTGATGAGGCGCTTTATCAGGTATGTTGTCTTCTACATCGGTCTAGTTTATCAATTGTTTAGCTTGGCTTGGACATCGAAGAACTTCAAGAAATTGAAGAAGACGCCGGCCTTGGTAACGGTGGCCTCGGACGTTTGGCCGCTTGCTTCTTGGATTCGATGGCTACGTTGGGAATCCCTGCCTGCGGCTACGGGCTTCGCTACGAGTACGGAATCTTCAAGCAATTGATCAAGGACGGCTGGCAGGTAAATTGTATTTGCTTTCTGTTTTCAACTGATCCTTTAGTGTGAGGAACCTGATGACTGGCTTCGTTTCGGAAATCCGTGGGAGAAGGCGCGGCCCGAGTACATGCTGCCTGTCAATTTTTACGGACGTGTCGAGAAGGATGACAAAGGAAAGGCCAAATGGGTCGACACGCAGCTCGTCTTTGCTATGCCGTACGATACCCCGGTCCCGGGTTACAAGAACAACGTCGTCAATACTTTACGGTAATCGCTTTTTCCTCGAAAACTATTTTTGGTTTAGTCTGTGGTCTGCCAAGGCTGAGAACCACTTCCATCTGAAGTTCTTCAATGATGGTGATTACGTGCAAGCCGTCATGGATCGCAATCTGTCGGAGAACATCACTCGTGTGCTCTACCCGAACGACAACATGTTTGTTGGCAAGGAATTGCGCTTGAAGCAGCAGTATTTCCTGGTTGCTGCCTCACTGCAGGTATTTATTATCTAGATGCTTGGCAATTATTTTTCGTGTTTAGGACATCATTCGCCGTTTCAAGTCGTCGAAATACGGATGCCGCGATCAAGTGCGCGCCGACTTCTCTACCTTCCCGGACAAGGTCGCCATTCAGTTGAACGACACTCATCCTTCCATTGGAATCCCTGAGCTGATGCGACTGCTGGTTGACGTTGAAGGTTGGGTCCATAATAGCACCTTTAATCTTTTTTTTTAGATCTGCCGTGGGAGGAGGCTTGGGATATCTGTGTGAAGACCTATGCCTACACCAATCACACGCTTCTACCCGAAGCTTTGGAGCGTTGGCCGGTCTCTCTTCTCCAATCTCTCCTGCCCCGCCACCTGGAGATCATCTACGAGATCAACCATCACTTTATGCAGGTACTTGTTTACTTACTCCATTACCTAATACCTCTGTCTAGGTGCTCTCAAAGAAGTACCCGGGCGACTTCGATCGTATGCGACGCATGTCTATCATTGAAGAAGCGGATCAGTTCGGAGAGAAGCGAATCAACATGGCCAGTCTCTGCATCGTCTCCTCGCACGCGATCAACGGCGTAGCGGCGCTTCATTCGGATTTGCTTAAGAGCCAGACGTATGCTAACTTTGTTTTTTACTTTATTATTTTCTTCGTTTTAGGTTCAAAGACTTCTACGAGCTCTACCCGGAGAAGTTCCAAAACAAGACGAACGGCATCACCCCGCGTAGATGGCTCTTGTTGTCGAACCCTTCATTGGCCGATGTGATCTGCGAGGCACGTTTTTTTTGCAATTTGCACTATGTGTTGGCGCTGCAACTTTATCGTTTTATTTTAGAAAATCGGCGAGGATTGGGTGACCAATCTTGACGAGCTGCAGAAGCTGAAGGAATTCGCCAACGATGCTGCCTTCATCGATTCGATTCGCAAGGTCAAGCAAGAGAACAAATCCCGCGTGGCCCAATATCTCGAGGATGAGTATGGCGTCTCCATCAACCGTGGATCCCTGTTTGATATTCATGTAAGCTGTAACTTCTTATCACTAAAAATTTTTTAGGTCAAACGAATTCATGAATACAAGCGCCAGTTGCTCAATATTCTCCATGTCATCACTCTCTACAACAGGATCAAGGCCGATCCTTCTATTAAGATGGTACCCAGAACGGTGCTCTTCGGAGGAAAGGTATCTTGAATTTCGTGATCCTTTATGAAGCTTTAGGCTGCTCCGGGTTACCATATGGCCAAGCAGATCATCCGTTTGATCACAGCTGTCGGTGAAACTGTCAACAACGACCCGATTGTTGGAGATAAATTGAAGGTATCAGTGTTATTACACGATCTCTTATGCATATGTTTTAGGTAATCTTCCTTGAAAACTATCGCGTGTCGATGGCCGAGAAGATCATCCCTGCTGCTGATCTTTCTGAGCAGATCTCCACCGCGGGAACCGAAGCTTCGGGTACTGGCAACATGAAGTTCCAGGTACTTTCCGCGAGAGTGCCTCTATTTATCCAATTTAGCTTAACGGTGGTTTGACCATTGGAACGCTTGACGGTGCGAACGTCGAGATGGCTGAAGAGATGGGCAATGAGAACATCTTCATCTTCGGAATGACCGTCGAAGAAGTAGAAGCACTCGGAAAGAAGGGTTACCGCGCTGAAGACTTCATCGAGAACAGCCCGGCCTTGAAGCAAATCGTCCAGCAAATTGAACTTGGCGCTTTCACACCGGAAGACGCTGGCCAGCTCCGTGATGTCGCTAATATGCTCAGGCATCATGATCGGTTAGTATTTGTATTTATTTTCTTATCTATTGTCTGTTTTAGATTCATGGTCTGTGCCGACTTCGAAGATTACCTGAAGTGCCAGGACCGTGTCGCCGCCACCTATCAAGACCAGGACAAATGGGGTCGCATGGCTTTGATGAACATCGCCTCCACCGGCAAATTCTCGACGGACAGGACAATTTCCGGTATGCTTTGTGCTTTTGCATTTATTTTTTATTATAGAGTACGCACGCGAAATCTGGGGCATTGAGCCGAACGAGGAGCGCCTGCCCGCACCATACGAGGGAGTCCCCGGCACCGAGAGCGAGGACAAATAATTTTACTCTTGTGTATTGCATCCCATTCATTTGTGTTTAGGCTGTGTTTCTGTGAATTGTGCCATTCTCTAGTATAGTCCCCTCTCTTGTGCCCCCAACTTTTTACTTTGATATTCGATGTTGGTTGCCCGAATTTGATAAAACTATCGGCTTCCAATAAATGCCTTTATTGCTGGTAGCCGCTCATCGTTGCGCCATACTTGACAAACACCCGATTTGTGTTGGCGTTTCGGCACACGCCCATTGATAATTTCATTACGCGCGGACAGATGCTTCACTGCAGATTTTGGGGGCGAAGCCGCCGTCTTGTCTATCGATCCGGCTTTCGCGTTTTAAGGAAATCGCTGCGTTTTCAGAGGGACTTGGCCTTTTACTTTGAGCGCGGGTCTTGATTGGCAATGTACAGGTGCTGATCAATTTGGCATGCCGTTATAGCATAACTTCATCGTTCCATGCATTTTATGTACGGTTCTACTTCAAATTGCTACCATATTTTGTGCAGTTGATATCGAACCGGGCAGGCTTGCCATTTCAATGATGGCCATTGTTGGGGGCGAGGAGGGTTTGCCAGTATGAGAAGGCGTTTTTCATGTGCTCTCCCCTTTGAGGATTTGTGGGTCGACGGCCGGAAAGCGGGGCCGCTATGGGATGGACGTTGAGAGATTTGGCCTAGGGGAGGCCGCGAAGGGATCCGGGGTCAGCCCCAGCTCCCTCAAGGGCCCCTTGTTGCTCGAATGGGGCCCACCAGGGCCCACCCCACCCCCGTATTGATTCCTGACCCCGGGCCTGGGGCACCAACCCTCAGTTTTAGATGCACAAATCCGTTTTGGTGCTTTCTGGTTAGTTATCGTTCAGTATTTAAGTCCTTTTCTTTTTACGGTTTGGGTTGTTTTGGGGTAAAAGCTAGCTATGGGCCGCTGTAGAATACATTACCTAGGATTTTTTGAACCGCTGATTGCTACGCTTATTTAGGTGATTTACTACGACGATGTCCACGCATTGTTAGAGCTCTCTGGCTACATTTGGAAGCGCCGATTTATGCATAAACCTTAGGAAAGGCCTAATTTTAGCATTTGGCTTTCGGGAGACTGAGTCGACTGACATGGACAGAAAGTGACTGCTTCACAAAGTCTCGCGCTAGATATAGCCAATTACAGCCGTTAATTAGGACTAGACCCCGGAAACAAACTTGGGAGTGCCACATGGGAGCGAAAACCTCGGGTCCTAATACTTTTAGATCAGTGTCATTAGCTTTATAGGGGCACCAGCATTGACAAACTTTTCAGGCGCTATGCAAATTGGTGTCTAGCATGCCTTCAGAACTGCTCTGCCTCAAAACGGCCGTTCCGCATATGTTTAGCGTTTTGTTAGCTGGCATCTCTCACCTCAGCCGGGGTGTGTGGCCATGCTTTTTCACAGCCTGCTCTGCCCGCCTCTTCAATGAGTGCCCTCTCTTCCTCCTTCCACCCGGTTCACAGCTGGACACCCGGCCCGGCCAACGGCCCAAGGGGGGAGGCCCAACCTCAACGTTTATTGCTCACCCTGGCCGCCGCAAATCATGTACCCGCACTACTATACTTTTTGGTTTTCTCGGAAATTGGGTCTTCTATTCTAATTCTTTCTAATTCTATGCAATTTTTCATTTTGGCGGCAGGATGGTACTTAATTTACCGTATTTCTTCTAATGCACTTTAATAATCTAGCCTTTAACGTAACCCCGATCCCCGATTTTTTTTGTCAAAACGGCTTGTTAGCATCAAAAATATGGAACTGGATTTGTATGGGCTTCTAGGATTTGTGATTCCCTGGTGTTTTGAGCAGTTTCCATTACTGAAAATCGAGGTAATTTCCCAAAAATAAAAACTATAACTAAAATATAGTTTTTATTCTTATTTACTAGAACTATAGTCGGGGTTATATTACAGGAAATACGGTATGTTCCTATTTACGTACCAATTTACCTAGCTAGAACGTATGAGATTTGTGTTCTAATTTAGGTTTTTGCCGTTAGTTTTTTTTAGCAGGTGTGGCGAGGTTTTAGTATTTAGCGAGAAATACAAAATTTTTGGGTGATTTTAGTTTTTAGGCTACTTGCAAAGGTGTTCAGTAGCCCTTGTAAGGTAGTTTCCGCCGCGATATTAGCGCCGATATAGCCACCCGGCCATCTATTGAAGCTATGTGTCCCCCAAGGAATATTGGTGTGGATAGGGCGGTGTGTATGTATGTGTTGTATGTGTGTGGGGTCCATTCCTTGGGAAGTACGGGGGGAGCGAGAGCTTCAGCCAACGCTCTCCGTGTCCCTGGAGGGGCCGTCAACCCGGCTGCCATTCCACTGCCAACCAACGACGAATCTCCTCCCAATCGAAACGGGGGGCTAAGCCCCAGGCTGCCCCGGACGTCTTCCGTCTTTTCGTGGGAGGACCAAGCCGGGGGAGTGGTCAATGGTTTGGTCAGTTTATCAATTTCAAGGCGTTAAAAAACGTTCAGAAGGTTGGCCCTACGAACACCTACGTCTGTCTATTTTGTCTCACATGGAGACGTTTTTCAGTTTTTAGTTATTTCCTCTGAATTTTGAAAATGTGATCACGCCTATTTTGTGCAGATCTTCTGCAGCCTTAAAGGGCGAAAAACGGCCAAAGTACGCCAATTTTCACACTGCTAAATTTTAGAACTTTTCAGATATGGCCGTTTCGCATATTCTGAAGCGTACGTTTTGCTCAGCAAAAATTCTGAACAAAGTAGGCTTAGTCCCATCGATTTTGCGTAAGGAGATGCTTGCGTAGTCGGCCGGAACGTGCACTGCAACCTCACCGGCAAGGTCACATTTTTCTGCTGTCCTTCTTAGTCCATTTATTTGGGTGGTTTTGCGGTTCTCTCTCTCTCGCTATCTCTCTCTCTCTCTCTCTCTCTCAGCTAATTCCTGCCGTTCCTTCTGGGAATTCGGAAGTGCCGCCTTTTGGCCTAGGCCCCCCGGATGGTGATCAGTGGGGAATTGTTTTCCGCTCCACCCCTCCCCCTCGCCTTTCAGAGCCTGCAAAAGGCCTTTAGGAGAGGAGAAGAAGGAGGGGTCGTAATTTGAGACGGCACTTTTTATATGATGTCGTGTGGAATGGGGGGTGGGGGGAAGGGGCTGCCCCCGGGGCGTTTCAAGCTTTTCTTTAGCGCAACGGCTTTAGACCAAACCCCATTTTCTTTTGGTGCTTCATACTAGTAAAATTTGCCAAAGGCCTGAATTTTGGAAATTGCCCCCGGACAATGCCTAAATGGCGGTTACTGAAAATGGGCTTCGAAAATCTGTATTGCTTTAAGGGCCTCCTATTCAGGGAGTGGTGGGCCCTCTTTTGGTGAGGGAAAGCTTCCGCCTGGGTGCCCTATGGCAGTGGCATTTAGTTGAGTGCTTTGCCTGGCTGGCAGGTATTTCACCTATAATAACTTTGTATACATATGGATATATTTTATTTGAATACGAGTTGCTACTCTATAAGTAAAGATTTTTCGATCGTTGAAGCTGTTTTCTTTCGTTTGTTCGTATAGTTAAAAATCAGGATTTGCGAAGTATTTTTGGCTTTTCTTATTTTTTCTATTATAATCGTAAAGTCCTGGTTTATATTTGTATATTTTGATCTTGTTGGACCTTTAAATTAGAGAATTTCTACTAACAGCCAGCAGATTTTCAATTTTTTTAAGGGTTTGAGACTTTGATTCAGTGCATTCAGCCTCTTTTTGCCTCATTTTCTGCCATCATCGTAAATAGGTGTATACGTAGTCATTCCTGACCTTCTCCTTTACTTTAAAACTTTTGAATGAGGCCCTCGTTTTCTCCAGATTGCAACAATCCGTTTCTGCCCATGTAAAGCAGTAGGGCCCCTATGGGGTCGGGCGTCTTGTGGCCTCTCGGACATTGTTTATTCAAGAGAGCCATTTCGGGATTATGGGCCCTGAGGTCCCCTTCTGGCCCTTCTACCACCATCCCCCCTTTCCGTTACCCCCTTACCCGAAGAGGTCCCTCTCCATCTCGATATCCGGGCCGTTCCTTTCATTTTTGGCCATTCTTATCGACTACATAGACTACCCCCACTTCTCTATTCAACTGTCACTTTCAGCCAGCATCCGCGCATATATCATGAGGCGGTTCTTTGGCCGGAAAAAGTTGCGGAAATCTAAATCGGAGGTGGGTCAGAAACTAACTAACAAAGAGGCTTTTCGAGTGTCCACGGAAATTCGAAACTGGGCAAGCCTATCTTGTCGAGAATGTTTTGCTGATGAAAACGCACTTTAGAATCTGCTAAACGACCAGATTTGAAAAATTATGATGCTCTAAACCGTGAAAAACGCCCAAAATAGCCAAATTGGCTGTTTTTCGCCTTTTAAACTACATTTTTTTGCTTATGGTCGTTTCGCAGATTCTGAAAACTAGGGATTAGTCAACGAAAAATTCTGCACAGAATCTGGATCCCAGTCTGGAACTCCGTGGACGCTCACTGTATACGTTACTTTAAAATACGCACAAATTCAGGTAGTTGAGTCAAATGGAGCAGCAATGGGAGGGCTTAATGGCCACGGTCCGCACACCTCACATGAAACATTGCCCCAATCACGCAGTGCTAATATAGCGTAAGTATAATAAGATAGTGTCCCACATGTCTACCATTTTCCAGGGCCGCAAGTAGTACATGCGATGACTGGGAGGCGGTTTGCTCCTCTCTTGGCGAGGAACGAAAGAATACGGATCACGAGCTTGATCGCTTCATGATGCAGAACATTGTTGACGTCAAGTTTCAGCTGAAACGGAGCAAATTCGCGGCTGTCGGTTCGTCATTTGTAGAAGCTCTCTATATTGCGTGCACGTCTCGCTCTCTCTCTCTCTCTCTCTCTCTCTCTCTATCTCTCTCTTTCTCTCTCTTCTCTATCTATCTCTCTCTGCGTAAAGAGGTATACTACGTAGTAATCGCTGAAATCGCTGAAAATTTTAATGTAAAAACATCTTTTTCAGGTGAGGTCAACTTTCAAAGAGGATGTCTTGATGCGCACAACGCCATGCGAACAAAATACGGTAACAACCCACTACAATGGTCGTCGGAACTCGGAGAGCTAGCCCACACCTGGGCCATAAGACTTGCGGAACGAGGCCGTATACTGTATCCCGAATTAGCAGGTAGGTATAACTAAAAAGATTTCCAACCTTTTTTGAGGGATCGGCGAGAACCTACACGTTTCCCCAGCAACGAACACTGATCATCTACCAACCGGTATTGAACTTGTGGAAGAATGGGAGAAGGAGAGCCAGTTCTTCAATTTTGAGCGGCCTAGGTGGCATCCAAGTAAGGATTTAGGGCAAAAATGCAATCAAAGCAAATTTAAAACTCAAAAAAAATCATAAACTTAAATTTTTCAGAATGCCAACACTTTTCCCAAATGTTGTGGAAGGATAGCACGGAGCTGGGCGCAGCCCGATATTGGAATACAGCGAAAAACTGCGTGGCTGTCGTTTGCTTCTACCGACCAGGCGGAAATTCTAATGCACCAGGTGGGCTAGAAACTATCGATTTCAGTCAAACCACGGTCATACGGTGAAGCGAAAATTTTTTAAAATATTTAGGTGAATTTGCGAATAATGTCCCATCCCGGGAAGCCTCGCTATCACCTGCCCGTTCATTACCGGCTCATCTGAAGCGGGTAACCATCAGCGAACCACCTGCGCGAGCTACATAGAAATATTTTTTTGGTCATTCTAACAAGTAGACCTTTTTAGTGTCGTTGGGGTTTCAAACCTATGCAAAATTTTGCGCTGATTTCGAATATGCTTACAAAATTTCAGGAAGCTGGATTTTTCGAAAGTTATGAAGGATTTAAGTTCGGAAGACCATAGAAAGTGGTTGTTTTTGAGCGTTTCTTGGGCTTTAATTGGTTAAAAACTTTTGGAAATATATATGAACTATTCTGCTAATTTGGTGACAATATTCGGAGCCAGCGTAAAATTTTCGACAAGCTAGGTTAGGCCCAATTTAAAACCCCCGACAACACTAAAATAACGTCTCCTTGCAAGTGAAAAGTTCCAAGTTAAACTTCCTTGCCCGGTTAGGGCTACCCTGTTTTTAGCCCGCTGGTTAAATTACAAGTTTTCCTGCCAGTATTGCCTTGCCCTCCGTGCAACTCAATTCCCGCCCACTTTCCCTTGCTGCCAAATGCTAGTTAACAACGAATTGCAAAAATTCCGAATTTGATACTCGTACTCCCTTTGGTTGTTTTGCCTTTAATATAACCAAAGAGCTGATCTCGACCGTTTGTTTGTGCCAGCTTCATGCCATATGCTAAATTTATTTTTCTTTGCCTTCCCAGACATCCTTTAACCCTCTAAAAATTAAAAATGTCTCTGCTTCTCTCATTGCATCTCACTGGCCCCACCCGCAAAGATTAGGAATGACGTCGCGATAATTTACGAAGTTTGATGATTGTGAGAATGTGTGCTGCATTTTATGTTTTTGACTTTGTAAAACTAGGTCGCTCATCTGATTCCCCAAAGTGCTTGCCGAACGGCGCTTTCTTCATACGCCAATTTCCCCATCTTTTTTTGGTTGTCATCTATCCCAAACTGCTGCTTGTCCTCTCAAGTGGCCACCGTTTTTTATGGAAATAAAATATGTCGATTTTTTTTATTGGCTAAGGGATCGACTTATTTGGATTTATTTGATGCAAAGATTACGATTAGCGCTTTCTAAAAATCACAACTACAAAGGTACGAGTAATATGTTTCTAGGCATCAAAAATGCAATTATATACCGCGTTATTTTCGGGTGGGTTTTCGACAGATTTCTGGGGCTCGGTAGAGTTCTTGTTTTGCCCTGCTTTTGCAGAGCTTTCGGTCGTTGTCACTTGATATGTTTTCTGGAAACGTTTCAAACCGGGGACGAATTTGGAAAGGAAGGCCAGGGCTCGCATACGGTATGCCTGAAAATCACGAAATTGAAAATTTAAATGTTTGGTTTACCCGGAAGAGAATCAATACCAGGCATGCATCAGCTGGGGAATAACCGCAAATAAACATTGATAGGTAAAGCCCTTGCCGTGGTTTGGTTATAAGATCGGTAACGTAAAAATAATTATTTTTTTTTTTGGTAAACTTACTTAACATGCCACCGTAGATGATAATACTAGCCGGAATAAATTCGAAAAATAGCGGAGACAGAGCCTAAGAACGAACTTTACTAAATATACCACCTTACCTGAGCCAATAGAACATACAGCAATTGGATCTGTGTGCGTTTCATTTTCCCGGTAGTAACAGACCGACTTACAAAATAGTATCTAAATATGTTTTATCCAAGCAATGAAAAATAAAACTCACAGTTTTATCCCGGTTCCACAAATGCAACTATAGGCCACGCCACAAATCACCAAGCAACCAGTTGAGCCGAGTAGTTCGTGCCAGTTATACCGTAGTTCATTCTTTGAATCTACATACTACAAAAACCTATTCGTACTATTTTGCATTTATGAAAGGTCGTTTTCCTATTATTGAAGCGAAAATTCCACGGATTTTATATTAAACAAATAAAAACCCTCGATTTCGGACAAACATTTTAATTTTTAATCCTGCTTTTTATATTTTTAGACGGTTTTCGAAAATGCGAAAGCACCGCAAAATTAAAGAATGAGATAAAGGTTACCGTGAAGACTGGTCCGAGATAATATACACTGTCATCAAGGGTAACATTTAGCGCCAATTTTGCATCCAAACCGCTGAGCTCGTTTCGAGCGGCATTCGGCTGAATCGAGAAAGTAATGAAAAGGCATTTTAAAACCTACACTCATAGTCCAAATACAAAAAACGACGTAGAGGCAAGAGAATGCAAGATTCGCCACAACCACCAGAATAAGACCTCGGGTGGTATTGAAAAGGAACGTCATTCTTCTAAACAATTTTTTTATTAAATTCACGCAATGGGTATAAATTCAATGAATATTAAGGTACCCTGTAATCAGCGTATAACGATAAAGACAATGAACACCAAGCAGCGTCAGTGCCTGCGCGAATGAATTCGTAAATAAACACATCGCAGCCAAATTAACCCAATACGGCTGCGCACCGGCAAGGTTTTTCGAAATACAGAGAAATCCATGGCTGTCGACTAAGTATACCTTAAATATAACATAAATTCCGCTTTTTTCGTGACAAACCGGCTCGACGACAATATGAACGGACGTAAACCAGAGATTATAACATGTAATGACCGCCAACATTTTTCTATAGCCCTTCGCCAGCGTCGAATTGTCGGTGAGGATCAGAAATAATAACAGTATATTCGAGCATAGCCCCAATATCGTTAGTGCGTTTGTCACCACGGCGTGTACCGTAGTCTCGAACATTACAGTAAAATCTGACGGAGGTCCTGAAACGGATGCAAATGATGTAAAATGATGGAAAAGCGAGCTTGAACGTTGCACACGAAATTATTCGCAAGCATCCCATGAGGTATGTGCCCTTACGACGCATGACTTTGCGTCTCCACCTTTAATACCCCCTTCTAATTAGTTCCGTCGAAAATTTTCCGCTCACACACCAACGATACGATTTCCAGTTGGCTTCCTGATTTTCCGCCTCTTAATTCCTACGGCTCCCACCGCCATTTGGATATCGTGAGCTGTCAAATGCTCCAGAAACCCTTTTTCTGCTCCCCGTTCGTGATTCAGAGGTGTTTATCCGTATTGGCAATAGGAAGCTGAACTTTCTGGAAGGTTTCTGGAAGGTGTACGTGGTGTGTTTTGGAATTTGTTTCTTTCTAGTGGAAGTAATGTCTCACGGTATACGATCGGTGATCACCTTATGAGGAACGAGTTTTTAGCTATTTTTACTTAGTATACTTTAGTTTTTTGACTGCTAGGGTAAAATTTTCACTTCCTGGCCCCTTTAAGAATTCAAACACGGTTCACTGTACCAAATTCTGATCGTTCGCCTGTTCTCAGACGTCAGTTGGAGCAGTTCTGTGACCCCGGAAATCCATGCCGAGATCCGCGATATTATCTTCCAGGAGGTGTTGTTGGCCAAACTCATCACCTCGAAATAGGATGTACATGAGGAGGATGAGGGGGACAGAGAGCACGAGCTGCGTCATGCCCCCGCCCAGTATCGCTGTTGTTGTGTCGTCGCTAGAGGTTGTCCCCGTTTTGCCGTTTTGCCCCTTTTTCTTTTTGCATTCGTCGAATGGCCTTCCAAAAAGGGAGATATCTGGTGGAGGGCATTTGGTATAAAAGGGAGTGGCGGGGGGCCAGTTGACCATCGAAGCATTTTGTATTCGACAGCCAATATGCAGTATTTCCTTGTTCTTCTCCTGCTCGCCATCGTCGCCGTGATGAACGTTGAGGCCCAATGGGGTAGGTGCTAATTAATCTATGCTCTGAAAGCTATGTAACTACACCTATAGTTTTAAACCTTTCGAAAGTTACATCTTGAATCCGCTTAAAAATAGTAGGAACCTACCCATATTTAATTTCTTCACCCTTAAACACTATTTTTCCAGGAATGTACGGCATGCGTCGGCCATACGGTATGTACGGCATGCGCCCCTACGGAATGGGAATGGGAGGCATGGGAATGGGATACCCCGGCATGATGTACGGTGGATGGGGCAGGAAGTAGACCAACCGCTCGCCACGATGCGACACCCACCTCCAAAAATCTCAACAAATTTCTTCCCTGATTCTCAACGTCTCCACGAGAATGAATAAAAGATTTTTACTCAAATTTGTTAGAATATTGCCGAATTGAGCAAATATATATACAGAAAACCATGCGTATTTAAAATTACCGATTAAAATCGCTTCATGCTACATTTTAAGCTGTTAAAAGGATACTTTAAGCCTCCTATAGAGTGCGGGTCAAGATGATAGGTCCACCTAATTTTTTGTCGATTTTCTCCGCGGAGAATGATTTCTGACTAACCCAAATAATGGGCCTTGTAGTCCTAAAAAAGACGAAAAGACTACTTTAAAATTTGCTTTATAAATCGGCAGTCCGTTTTTGTAGAGATATATTGAATGCATGAAAAATTCGTCTTTTCAAGGGCTATAATCCCTGCCACAAGATTCGGCTCGGTCAAAAGGAACAGAGCGTATGCTGAGTCAAATGGTAATTTTTATGCAAAGTGACATAGGCCCTCCTGTTTCCTATAAGTTAATTTAAAATTTACTGCAACTAACCAATTCTCCGCTCGAACTGCTAACAACTACACTTCTTCGATAAAACCCATAGTAACTGTCTTTGATGTCATTTTCAAGAAATCCGGGCCGATACTTGCTTTACAAAAGGTCATTGAAATTTCGCCCTTATCCCCATTTTGTTGTAACAATCTTTTTCGCCCGATTTCGTTATCAAAGATTATTGCGGGGTACTGTTGACCAGACAAATCTAACAAGTAGATTTCCGATTGACGATTGGATTTGAGAGGACTAGGAAGTGTGTAATTCTTTGCTTGAAACTTTGACTTTTCGCTTAAAATTTCGGCCATAAGAATCCGTTCGCGAACTTCTCCCCTATTCGGATCACCAGGAAGAATTTTTCACCACCAAAATCCTATAAAACCTGGAAGGTTGGGAACCGGGAATCTTGGGAATCGAACCCCTCTCACCGATCGTTTACAATCCTTCCTTCCTGCCACAAGGTCATCCTTGATGGGCAAGATGGTGGGGGATATCGGCTCGTCGAAATGGGGAAATTTTTTTTGGGTACCGCATGCCTGGACGACCAAAAACTATTGTGCTATTGGAAAAGTGGGAAGACGGATTTTAAATTGGGGGTGCCGGAGGTTGAAACCGGTTCGAAATAGCAGCGCGTACGAAAAGGTTATGCATATTTTACCGGCACGTGTTTTTATTCAGGAAAAATGTGAAATAAAACAGCGCAGAAGTTGTGCAGAATTTTTAACAGATTCTAAATTGGTATTTAAAAACTTCCAAGGATTGAGATTTCAAAAGTTACGACGCATTTCAGGTTCATTTTTACACAATTTTCAAGCTAAACCCTCAAGAAACATGGTTCTGGGTGAGGATGCTTCCTATGCCTTTTCCTTAATGTGTAAGCCCAACCGGAAATTGCTTTACGCTATTCCCAAGATTTTCCGTTAGTCGGAAGACCAAAAATCGGCGCAACCGAAAAACTGATCCCCGACCGATGATGGGTTAACTGATAAGAAGGGCGGCATTCATCCGGGTGAAAAAAGGCAGGCTACAGGCAACGAATGGCAAGACCATTCCATTGTAGGAGGGGCAAAACAGGGCAGATGATAAGCCGACGCGTATTTACAACTTGTTCCGCTTTTTGCAACACGTCGGAATTGATCCTAGCGGGTTTCTAGTCAGTCGGAAGTCCAATAATTGTGGTCATGACAGCCGGGAAGGTAAGAATCAATAGACATTGATATATCGGTCAAAACAATTCCTTAATTTCACCTTAATGGAATTTATAGCCAATCAAATGCCGAGCGGCCATCCTGTGGAAAGTAAATGAACCGCTAAAGGTAGAAGACGTTGAAGTTGCCCCTCCCGAGGCTGATGAAGTTCGAGTAAAGGTAAGCTTTTCGGGACAGTACAGCTAGCCAGGGATTTAAGATCATCTACAACGCTTTATGTCACTCCGATCTTCATGTAATGGATGGCTCTAGTAAAAGTAAGGGTGTTTAAGATATTAAAATCCCCCAAATTTTAGATCGCCTACCAATTGTATTGGGACACGAGGCGGCAGGCGTCGTCGAAAGTGTTGGATCACAAGTTCATGGTTTTGCAGAAGGTATCGGGGAATTACGATAACTTTAAAAGACGCGTCTACGTCTAGGTGATGTTGTCATTCCACTATATCTTCCACAATGTCGCAAATGTAGAAGCTGCCTGCGTGGCGACAACAATTCCTGTGAACGAATCCAGTGCGCTTTGTTCTAAAAATTAGAGCCAATGTACTTTTGTAATATTACTATTATAAATTAGGTATTGGACTGAGGAGACAGCAATCACATGCAAAGGTCAGAAGGTAAGTACTTGCAAGGCATCACAAAACCATCGACCTAGATCACGGCCTTCATGGGTCTCGGAACATTCAGTGAATACACTGTAATCAAGGAGTTCCGGTTGGCCAAGGTGAGCAAATGATTTTACTCTATAACTACCGTAATTTCTAGATTTCACCTGGTGCTTGTCTGGAGAAAGCCTGCCTAGCCGGATGTGGACTTGCCACTGGCTATGGAGCTGCCGTCAACACTGCACAGGTATGTTTTTTTTAATAGATACAAAATAACTCCTTTGGCTTCAGGTTCGGCCCGGTGATCGAGTAGCCGTTTTTGGGCTCGGTGGTGTAGGATTATCGGCGATTCAAGGCGCGAAAAATGCAGGAGCCGCAAAGATCTATGCCGTTGATATCAACGAATCCAAATTTGATGCTGGTAGGAGGATGGGTGTCTATAAATACGCTTTTCTAGCCAAAGCCATGGGTGCCACGGACTTTGTGAATCCGAAGCATGTGCCGGAAGGGGGTCGATTTTCGGTTCGTATTTTGCTATTATTTAAAAATTCTTTTAGCAATGGTTTATCGAAAAGCATGGCGCCGTCGACAAAACGATTGAATGTATCGGAAATGTTAATGTTATGGTATGGCGTTGCGTTTTATTTTAATCACTGTTTTCAGAAAGACGCTGTCGAAATCGTGGAGCGTGGCTGGGGTCGAGTGACGATTATTGGTGTAGCAGCGGCAGGTCACGAACTGGCCCTTAATCCGGGCCATTTTCTCACCGGAAAGACGATCAGCGGGTCGTTGTTTGGGGGTAAGTGAAAGTAAAAAAGTTTCTGGCAAAGGTGAAAAAATAAAATTCTGAGTATTGTGAAATTTCTCTATTATACTGACCGTCTTCAGGTTGGCGTTCCGTCGATCAGGTCCCAGGGCTTGTTGATGACATTACGAGCGGAAAAATCAACGTGGATCCATTGATCACACACAGATTCCCTCTTGAACGTGTTGAAGAAGCCGTCGAGTTGTTGAAGAGCGGAAAGAGGTTCGAAAAGCTAGGTTTCGTACGCCAAATTTTCTTTCATTTAGCATTCGCTCCGTCATCGCTCTCTCGAAGCTATAAAACCAGGAAAAATGTAATAAATTGTATAGAGCAGAGTACGCAAACATTATACATGCAACTGTACGCCTTAAAATAGCTCGAATTTCTAAAACTGGCAAAATTTAATAAATTTTATCGAAGAAAGAGCACGGAAATATTAAAATTACATAGCACGCCCTAAAATAGCTTGACCGATTACGTCAAGCAACCAATTCCCCAAGCTACAGGAAGTATTTTAGGGGCACATCCGCCTTAAATTAGAGGGCATTCAGTGTGCCGTTTGGCCGCTAGGGACATGCTTGTCCGGAACGGCTATTTCCGGTCGGGGCATCCAGAAAGCTTTTCGCCCAAAAAGTTGGCCATTAGATGTCCCAGCTATTCTTTTTTGCGCAACGTCGAGAGTAAGTTTTTTTTATAAAGTTTTTGGAATATTTCCGTAGTATCCTATCGGATCTTAATATGCAATGAGATATTCGCCCGAAAATAGAAAGGTCGTCTCGGCTAAGTGCTCGGCCTCATCTCGCGCGCAATTGAATTGTTTCATTACGGCGCGATGCCCCCGCAGAGAGCAAAGAAGCATAGCGCAGGGTTTAGTCGGGGTTTCCGCTTCATAGATATTCTCGATACTATTCCGAAATTAATATTTTCTGATGTATCCACGAAGATCCACACCGAGGATTAGTATTTCTGAAAGCTTTCGATATAGGTAAATCATAGGTTTTTACGTTTATACGTTCTCGAAGAGTTCCTAATATCGCGTTTCATCTGATTCCTAAATTTTATTAGTTTAAAACCAGGGTTCAAAAGTCGCTACGCGACTTTCCAACCCTGGTCCCGCCCGACCCCATTTTATCCTTCACTTTGCATAATTGCCATAAATTCAGATGACAAACATGAAAAACTTCTCTCCTGTCCCTTTATATAGGCGAATCTCCATTTCCGGTCTATGCTAATTGTTCCTAACAAAGAGGTTGTCACAAAAACTTAAATTTAATGTCGAAAATATGTGATTTTGCTAAATGTGATTTTGCGCGCAGTTATCTCCAGGCCATTACGCACCTAATGACGTCTCATACGTACTTTGATGCCCTTCCCCTATCAAGATATCTTCCGGCACACACGGACACACACAGACACTATTTTTTTATGTATAAGAGGATTTATTCCGAGTAAATTTGAGAGCCTATTTTTTGCCCTTGTATTTTTTAAAAAATAAACCAGGGAAGTGCTTCTAAATTATTTATTACTATTCCTAAGCAGGGACGTAGCGTGATACCGGCCCCGGCCCCCGAAATCGGCCGGGGCTCGAAAATTTCATAAGGGGGTACCCTTATGATTTTTATTTTCTCAAAAATTTTGCTGCCTGCGGCGCTATTTTTCACGTTTTTACGGCTATTTGTAGAGCTATGTAACCTTTTTTCAAAAATTTTTGCCTGCGGCGCTGTTTCCTCGTTAATCTTGTGTTTTTTGGAAAATTTTTTTGGGCCCCCGAAATTTTTTTCTGGCTACGCCCCTGTTCCTAAGCATAAAAATGTTACAAATTTTTATTAAAAAAATAAAGATTGTTTCACATTTTCACATTTGCAACATTTTTCTAAGATTTCTATATAGGTTCAGTGGTTATTAACGTTTATTATAACATCATGGAAATACTGAAGATAAACTTATTAGGTATGTCTGGAATTAATAACCAAAAATTCTGGATATAAATCTATGAATACAAATATAAAAGCTGAACTTTTATGTAAAGTTTTTTCAGATTTAATTCTATGGCATGAAATTGGTGGGAGTTTAGTGTAAAACCTAATTAAACTTATGAAATTATTTTTGGAAGTAGGGTATGTCATTTTTGAGTTTTTGCAAAGCTACTCTTCAAAAGCGCGGGGTTGGTGAGTGGGGATCCTTCTATGGTGGAACAGCCCTCTCGCTATTCTTTGCGGGGACCACCCATCAAAGCTATCAGGGTGGTCTTCGTGTTGGTCCGAGAAATGGCCATCTACAACCCCCGACCTACAGGATAGAAAAACAAAATTGCATTAGCTCATAGATATTAGAAGTACGCTCTTCGCTTTATAACTTTTTTAGCAACCCTAAATCATGAAAGTTAAAAATTAGATAGAGAAAAGATAAAATATATTAATATTAAAATATTATTTGTTATTATTATTATTATTATTTAGCGCTACCGACGAAGTGGCTGACTACAATGATCGGGCAGCCGAAGCCTTACGACAATTCCGATCACGGATAGTCCTGATTGATAGGAGGGTAAGATGCTAAACATTTCGAATTTACAAAACTTTCACAAATATGTTTTAGAACTATTTAACAATAAAAACGACTAAAAACACTATAGAAATAAAATAAAGGAAAATAAAGACATATTCAGAACCGGATATTATAGGCGTGAAAACGAAAATTAGTCCGTTCTCTAAACCCCCTCCCCCCGCTAACAGCCCAGTATCAAATCGGCCGCCAGATTTGCTTGAAAATGCGGAAGCGTAGTAAATGGCGTGTAGGCCTGTTTGTGAAATATATATTTCAGACCAGTAAGAAATAACGCCATATGTCCTTTGGATAAAACTAATAAATAGGGGTGCCCGATCCTCGTTGAACCCTCAAAAACATTAATCATTTTTGAGGCCTCCAGTACGCGTTCACCGGGAAGTGCCAATTTCCATGGCCGGAACCCCGAAATTAACGACAGGGGGACCACCGGGCGAAGCGTTTCCGGCTTTCAGAGACCCCACACCCCCAAAAAGACCCGAGATTCGATTTGTTTTCCAAACTCTTTCCATGGGTGGCTATTGTTTGGGGTATTGTCTTTGAGCCTAAAAATATTATTTTAGTTCCTGTTTATATTCTGAGTCTAGCTATACATTTCAATTAGAATTTATCAAATAAAAGCACACAAAATATACGTGATTTTTACCCTAATACCGGTTTTTATTCCTTCAAAGCTGATGTCCAATCGCTATTAGTAGAATCTAAAGGGCTAGGCCCAGACAGACGTCGCAGGGGGAGCACCTTTGGGAATTCCTAATCAAGGCTGTGGAGTGGTTGATGTAAGTGGACTCTGAGAAAAGAAAAAAAAGAAAGCGGAATCCACTAAAACATCCGGGACCCCAAAAACGGCACATTTCCGCCCAAAAGTTATGGGTTCCATTCCATGGGAGAAGCTGGCCGATCAGGAAAAGCTGCCTAAGGAGAATAGCTATAATGTTTTTATTATTCTGGACGCGCGGAGGCCATTGGTGGAGCAAGAGATTCCGGGGGTAATTTTTAGAGTTAATTTTAATCTTTTTAAATATAGATAAAATTCCCTGGTATAAATTCCTTTATTGTCAGTTTCTATGAAATTAGCTGAAAACCATCATTGCAATTATCTTATTACTTTACATGCTTATTAAATGTTAATCCCCTGAAATTTTCAACCATTTCAAATTCTTTGCCCTTTCCGGTTTCAATCCATGTATTTTTTTTGGCGCCACACCTGTGAGGTACTCTCGCGAGGAAGCAGCCCAACCATCTCAACTTACCCATCTCATATTCGCGAAAAAGAGGCACAGACATTTCGTCCCGACAAACAGACACACAAACCTCCATCTCATACTCTCATACTGGCACATCTGGCTTTGCCGCTAAGCAGGCCGTCGATATCCTTCAAAAATGGGTTTCTATCTAAAACCCTATTTATTTCGGTATCCGGTGATGCGTTTGGATAAGGTATATAGATATTAAAAGTATAACCATAAAAAAACCAGAGAATTTATTACTTAAAATAACGGTTTATTTAATTTGTTTTGTACTGGAACTTGCTGCTAATTTGTTTTCCTCCGTCTATATTTACCTGTTATATGACAAATGTATTTTTGTAATGTTTTTTGTAGCTTTTGATTACTAGAATTTTACAAAAATGTTCAAAAATTCGAAAGTTCGACCCTGTTGGTAATTTTGCATAAATTTTTCACCAAAAAGACAAATTATCGAAAATTTCTATAAGTTTTTATGAGCTTTAATATCCAAAAACGGTGTAAAAGTCTATAAAAATAGTCTATATTTTACCATAAGACCGTACAGGATTACTGTGAAAAAGACCCCCCTCCGCTAACAGCCAAGTACCCTTTTCTTTAGGATATGTGCCTATGTGGCCTTCTTTCTATCCCTCGTTCCGTGCAGCTGATTTGCGCGATTGAGGTGGGTTTCTAAAACGTTTTTAAAATAAAATGTTTTTAAAAGTGTTTTTATTAAAATTCATTAAATTGCAGGTATTTTTCTCCGTGGTCCTATTGATCCAATCCGGTGATCTTCTACGGATGGATGGAACCTATTTCTACTTTTTGGGCCTTTATGATGGGAAGGGATGGGCCTTCTTTGCCACACATCTGAGTCGTACGTTTTTTATAGTCGCCCAAAAAAAAAAAAGGAAAAAAAAAGAAAACCACCCCCACAAAATTATATAAGGTAGGATATGCTTCCGGTTTCCCCTTTCACCCCAGACAATAAAACATTTCAGTAAGTATCTCGTGCATATTAACGTCCGCTATATTACAAATTGGCCTAAAAATTCGGAAGCCATCGATGGTTATTCCACATTTAATTTGGCAGGTATGGCAATGGTAGGAAATTCTGAAAAAACATAGTTTCAGGTAATCTTTACGTTTTTCTGCTTTGCCACCATCTCCGGGTTAATGTATTTGGGTATTACCTCTCAAATGTTGATGCCATCAAGTGTGGTATTGTCTATAATGCTTTTAATACCAGGTAAGGTAGTTTATACTTTTTAATTAACCTCCTTTTCAGGATTTTTTGAGATCTGGTGGGCATACCTAACTTATCAGCTCGTCCGTCAGATGTATTTTACGGAAGGTCCTGAAAAAGACGAAAGACCAGCTGAGGAACCCTGCTTTTATTCCACTGAAATTTAAAGATACCTGCGAATTATCGCCTCGATTTTCATTTGTGATTGTAATACGGGTCGCTATATCCTCAGCACTCTGAATTTTATAAAATAAAATTTTCTATTGCTATAAAAGTTTGAATTTGCCTTCAACAGCAAAGATTAAAAATCCGCCGAAATACACGGGGCTAAAAGAGCAAGGTCATCCTCAAAGTAGGTTTGCTCATTCGGGCGTGCAGATCGGGATCACGGGATCAGCACGAAAAATGGATAGTTCGCTAAACGATCGTTCAAACAATTTTTGGTCTGACTAGATGGTGGAATCTAAACAGGAATCCATAGTGACTGGCTATGCAACAACCCCATTCTGCTGCTCCCTAGATGCTGTAAATCCTTTAAGACATCTGTATTCGCCAAAGCCGGCTAAAGATCATTGTTGTATTCTATAAAAGGAGGCTGCTAGTGATATAGGACAACGCGGCTCATTTGCCTAAGATAGACATGGTGCGGCTTAGCCTGTTGGTTGTTGTGTTCTGTAAGTTTTGTTGTGTTATACGATTTTAGGGTTGTGAGATTGTAAGGTAAGGCATAAGGTTGTAAGGATACCTTAAGGTTATAAAACTTGTCATCATTTGCAAAATACTTTCATTTAGGCTTATTCCTTCTCGTGGCTGTTGAATCGAAAGGAGGCGGAGGAGGAGGAGGCGGTGGTGGAGGAGGAGGTGGTCGTGGAGGTGGAGGAGGAGGCGGAGGTGGACGAGGAGGTGGAGGTGGAGGAGGCGGAAGAGGTGGTGGAGGAGGAGGAAGAGGAGGTGGAGGTCGTGGAGGCGGAGGTGGAGGCCGAGGATGGGGTGGAGGAGGTGGCAGAGGTAAGTAGCTTCTTAAAAAACCCATGTAGTACCAATCTAGTACATTTTTATATTGTTTATTTTAGGTTGGGGCGGTCGTGGAGGAGGCGGACGCGGAGGCGGTAAGTATTGTTATTTTAAGCGTCAGCTTTGGGGAAAAATATGGGATTTAAGCCGTTAATTAAGTTTTTTCAGGCTTGTGGGGTCATGGCGGTGGTGGTATGTTTAAAACTTAACTTTATTTTAGGTTTGAAATATATAGGTTTCAATTTTGGTCTTGTTTAGGCTGGGGACATGGCGGTAGCGGCGGCGGTGGGGGATGGAGACGACCCTGGTGGCGAAGAGGAGGATGGGGTAATTCTTTAAAATAAAATAATATTGCACTATTTTTCTCATTTTTTCAGGTGGTGGTGACAGTTCGTCCTACTACGGTGGTGGAGGTGGAGGCGGATTCGGGCTGGGTCTTTTCCGAGGAGGTTTATTCAACCGAGGCTACCAAAGTAAGAATCAAGAACTGGTCAAATCTAACTTTTTTTTTTTAGATTACGGAGGAGGACAATGCCAAAGTGAGTGACAATTTGCTGCTGTGAAAAACGTTCTTAAATGCTTAAGGTTTTTTACAAAAATTTTAAAATTTTGGTAGCACCTTAAAAACTGATTTCAGCTGTTGGCTATACGCGCAGCCTATTTATGATGCGTACCCAATGCTACTGCCCTGGTAGAGGATATTTTACAAGGTTGGGCGGTTGTCCAGCGTTCGGTGGAGGACTGTTTGGTTGAAAAATGTGATCTCTATCGAGACTAATCAGGATTAATAAACTTATCCTTAAAAATTACTATAATACACACAAACACAAACATAAGATCCGCTTTAAGCAGGAGCGACGCATTTTGGTAATCTATGTTCTTATTTGCCCCAAATCCATTCCAGTACAGCGAACTTAATGTCTACACCTTGCTTCCAACCCAAACCGATCTAAACAGCCCCCGATGGTTCGCTGAACTGGCTGTTGATCGTTCAGCCGCTCCAAAAAGAACCCTTTTGCCCGGATATCCATTGCAGATTGTGGAGCTAGCAGCACAAAGACCGGCTAAAGGGCTATGAGGGGGATCGTATGGGGAGTATTCGCTGAATCTGAGGTCGGGGCACAGATCAATCCGGCACAGATATAACATGCCCCTAGAACAGCTTGAGCATCGGACTAGACCCAATAGGGCATTCGAACAACATGGTGAACTCTTGTTTAGCTGTATTCGTTGCTGGTGGGTTTTGTTTGAGGAGCATTAAGCTGTTTTAATTTAAGTTTATTTGCTATTTTTGTGATTTGGCCATTTTTACCTTACCGATATAAGAATTCCAGTTTTTGAGGTAAACGTTGCTTAACGGGGAGCGGAATAAACGGGGGCGGAAACAACTTTTGTAGTTCTAAAAAATTTTGCTATGTTGGAAACGCCATTGGCTAGAGCGTCAAAAATCATAGTAAGAGATTTAATTTATTTTTTATAAGCTTAAAGACGAAGTTTAAAAAATGGCCTTTCGGGCTGAAATTAAGTCTCTTAGTATTTTTCGCAGCCCTGCCCGATGGCATACTTCAATAGGTACAGAATTTGTTTCCACCCTGCGCTATTTCGTTGCCCCCCGTTAGCACCCTTACTGTTATAGCAAGTAGATATTTAGAATACCGCAATTCAGTCATATCGTAACCAATAACGGTATCTACCTACCCTAAAGCATTTTTCAAAGTTATCTACTCAAAAATAATCCCATTTGACTGAATTGAAACTGATATCCATGAAGTAGCCAGTAGAAAGCGGGTAATGATGGTAAAAACGCAAAATTGATGTATTTCACGTAAATTCTAAATTGGGAAAAGCTCAGGCTTTTGATCGTGAATTTAAGTAACTAATAAACATTTAAGGTACATGCCTCCTGGTGGCACTGGACGCTCACGGCGGTGGTGGTCACAGCAGTGGTGGTCATAGCAGTGGTCATAGTAGCGGCCACAGCAGTGGTGGCCATAGTCATGGAGGTATTACTGTTGTATTAAAAATATAACAAAAAAGATTTTTACAGGTTGGGGCGGCGGGCATCATGGAGGTAAACCTATTTCAAAAACGGCTTTTTAAAAATTCCAGTATTCATTTATGACCAGCAATTATAAATATAAAATATATATTTCTATCTGAACCTTTAGGCGGAGGTTGGGGACACCATGGTGGTTGGGGAGGTGGCTGGGGACATCATGGAGGCTGGGGTAAATTTGTGTTTTCTTATTCAAATTTAATTTATTTTAGGTTTCGGTCGCCCGTGGGGATGTAAGTCAACTTGAATCAACTTTCTACTAACTCTAAAAATTTAATTTTATCTGAACAAGTATTTTAGTGCACAACTGGGGCTCCTCATCGGGGAGTAGTGGATACGGATATGGATACGGCGGTATAAAAAATTTTTATGACGTTATTTGCATGTTTAGGCGGGCTTTTTGGCGGCCTTTTTAATCGCGGGTATAACCAAAGTAAGCGGCTGACGATTTTTCTAAATTTCGTTTTTTAGATTATTACGGAAATGGATATGGCTATGGAGGCTATGGAGGATACGGAAACTACGGTGGATGCCAAAGTCGGTTTTTAAAAACTAAAATCGTTATTTGAATTATTTTTTTTAGCCGTCGGCTACACGCGTGGACTATTCTTAATGCGAAATCAATGCTATTGCCCTGGTCGCGGCTATTTCACCCAACTCGGTGGATGTCCGGCTTACGGATAAAAAACTGACTTTGAATATTTCTTTTCTTTCTGAATACCAGATGCTCTTCACCGCATTTTTTTCCATCTACCTTTCCCTTTCACCTCTCGCCTTTCTCCTCATCGAACAAATCGTTGTGATCTCGGTCGCGCTAATAAAACTACCCCCTCTCGCATTCAACGACCTGGCCTCGTATGACAACCAAAAAACCCGCCAGGAGCAGCACTCGCTCGCTAAACTGGTTTATAATTTTCGTGTCCGCTTCAACCCACAAAACTGGGCCATGGGGTGTAACGGGCTGTTTTCGAATGTACTATTTTTTGGACTCCGCCGTTAACGCCAGAAAGCCTTTGCCTTTATGTCAGCGCTTTTTTATTAAGATACAGCAGGTATGATCTGCAATTTGCATGTCGACTCTGCGGAATTCATGGCAACTTCGATTCGATATTAAGGTCCTTAATAAAAGCAAAACTTTTTTATAGCATTTTACAAAGTTTTTAGCAATAAAAACTAAAAAACATCATAATTTTCGCAAGTTTTGATTCTTTGGTTAAAAATGTAGGAAAAATTAACAAAATAGAGTAATATTTTCCAATTTTAAAAATACTTGAAATATTTTTTAACTTTCCCGCAATCAGAAACTCCGAAAACGTTTAAAAATGCACTATTTATTATTAACAATTAAGTATGAGCGGAAAAATAAAAATTAACTTCCCTTTGCTAAAAACCCTGCTGAATACCATCTCTGAATAGAACATCAATATTTCCTACCCTATCTGAAACATATCAGGTTTGCATACGTATTCCCATTCCCTCTGCACATTGTTTTCAAGGACCCAGGCACTGTCCGTCAAGAGGAGTGTCGTGTAGCGTGTGGCTTCTGACAGCAGCTTTTCTTGGAGCTGAAGAAAAAGAGGGGAAAGAGAGGGTTGAGGACAAAGACCTGCGCGTGAGAGCACGTCAAACATACCCTCCTCGATTCTCTCGGGAAAGACCACCACCAGGTCCTATACATAAATTCAATTGTTTTTCGGGTCTGTTTTCTTGTACTAGGCTAAAATTAAAGCCAAAATACCGTATTTTCTTTACTATAATTCTAAGATTTCTCTCTCTCTCTCTCTTTTTTTCTCTCTCTCTCTTTTTTTTTTTCTATCCCTGCCTGTATATAATCCTAGGTTCTTTCGCATCATCGGGGGGAGGGAGGGCCTTTTATCGGTGCAACCTAACTTTTTGTCTGTCTTAGTAACTTAATAGGAAGCATTTTCAAAGGGTTTTGAGTAAAATCTAAATATATTTAAACAAAAAATATCAAAATCGAATATTTGGTCAAGAATGGCCATGATATTTGGTTTTCTGATATTTTTTAGTAAAAATTTATAAAATTTTCTAGGTTTTACGTTTTCTAAGTTTTTTAAGAATAATAAAAAACCGTTTAGAAACGCTACCACTTTTTACGTTTGAAAACCTAGATTATGGAAAAAGTTGGCTCTCCCCCCCCGATAACACGCAAGAACCGAATTCCAAAACCGTCCCTAAAAATTGTTTTGATTTTTTCGTACTTACCACCCATCCACGCTACACGTTTTCCTAACCTGCTTGGGACACTTTTCTCACTCCCCTCGATCCTTTGGCTGAAACCCTCGGGAACATTTTTTTAATTTCACCCATTCTGCATCAGAACCCATAAAACGGCTTTGTGTGCAGACAAACAAGGTCGAGTGGGCTTCTTTTTCCACTACTCCCCCATTAGAACACAAATCCCCTGTGGAGTGAGAGTTATTTCCATCAATCCCGCCCGTCTCATTCAACTTCCACGCGCCTGGCCTTCATCTATTATGAAACCCCGTGATATTTTGCCAATGGTTACAAAAACCGGGAATTTTCGTGCTGGCAAAAACTGGAAAATATGATGTGATGCAAACAAGTACGAGGGATGAGAATAGGAATTCTAGTTTTTGAGGTAATGGTTGCTTAACGGGGGGAGGGAACGAACGGGAGTGAAAACAACGTGTGTGTATCTTTAAAAGTTATCCTGTTATTTTGGAAACGTCATTGAATAAAGTATCAAGGATTCGAGAACAGTTTTTGAGGTAAAGATGGCCTAAGAGGGGAACAAATTTTCGTATTTTTTGAATGCTATCTTGTCATGTTGAAAACGCTATCGGATAGGTCGTCAAAAATTATACTAAGGGCTTTGATTTCAGCCTGAAAAACCTTATTTCCAGCGATTTTTAATTAATTAAGCTTTCTAGCTTAACAAAATAATAATTTAAAATAAAGGGATTTCGTGATAAAGATTAAATATCTTAATACAATTTTCGATGCTTCATCCGATGGCAAGTTTGACTTGGCACAACCAGTCCTCAACAGGGAAAGGTTGTTTCGACCCCCGTTAAGAAACCTTTACCGTATTAACAGAACCCAAGCAGTCATTTCCTCTGTTTTTGCTTGCTTGACCCGGCCAAAATTTGTTTTCGAACCGTGGAACACCATAAATCCGGGCCGCAAGTGGAAGTGCTTCCGGTCAAATTTCTGCGGATGATCCATCATAAACTTTGCTCCGGAGTTTAGTGGCGTGTGTTCCCCCAAAAAAGTCGGTTTTCCCTACAGCAAGTACTGATAGGTGGGAGCATAAATCTAGTAGTTGAATGTGCGCTTTGAGACTACAAGGGCACGATCATATAAGGAGAAAAATACTGCTTTTTAGGAACTAACAATTAGACGGTTTTGAGTATTTTTAGTCGGTTTCGAAAAGTGACTAATTCTATTTTGTGCAGAATTGTTCACTGATTAAAACTTCGTTTTTAAAATCTACAAAACTACCACAATAATAAAAATATA